TCCCATAAGAAACTGACAGCTTGCCTTGTGATTTCATGGGATCTTCCAATACTCAGTCCCAAATGAATGACTAGTGCTTGTGGGACAATAACCTGACATTCCTCTCTACACAAGGAATGTCCTGAATAATACAAACATGCATGGTAAATCCTCAGTCAGTAGGATAACAATTTCATGACCCCTCAGAGTAACTCAAATAACAAGACACCATGTTCTTGGCACTGGCAGAAAAGGATGAAAATTTAGGGTATAAAAGGGCCCATTTTAACCCAACATTTCACTCCAAAACTGTCACAACCCAACTGCAACTTGAGATAGCATTCATGCTTCAGGATCAGGCAACATATCTTTCTCTCTTTTTTAATCTTCTTCCCCCTCTTCTTTCCAGCTAGATCTGTTCCACATTCTGATCCCATACTCACTTGGTTGTGCTTCCCCTCCCTGCTCCAGAGTCCCACTTTGTCTCTTCCAGAAATTCACCCCTTCCCTCCTGCTTTTGCTTGTGACCAATTCCTAGGCATTGTAGTTCTTTTCTTCCTTCTCTGTCTGAATTGGGTCCTACTCTCTGGGTCTTCTATCTGCAAGGGGAAATGGTTCAGAATTCGATATATGATAATTTTGTATCTGTTTTCTGTATAAATGCATCAGTACTGTTATAGCACTATTACAGGGATGAGAAATGGAAAACACATTTTCTTTAGGGAAAAATAGGTGAGAGAACAACCAAAGGGTTAAGTAGGGCAGTTTGTTTTCTGGATTTAATTAAAGAACATGCAATTAAGCCATCACCTTTTTTGTATTTCTATCTAAAGAAGCCTAGGATCCCTGGAAGACTTGGTAAAAAGCTCAGGAGTTAGCAATTAAAATGCTAATCCCTCTCATAAATACGCCATCTTAAATTTGAGGACTATAGAGTTAGGAGGAGGTTCAGTGTGCTGTTGTTAATAATCACATGCTTTGCATAATCTCCTATTCCATATCAGCATATGGTCTGAAACATTTAGCATATTGAAATGCCTTTCTTCAAATGAAGAACATCAGTCTGTGAAGAGTTGTCCAACAGAGATTCAGTTACAGATTCTGAGAGTTAAAAAGGGGCAGGGGTCTTTCAGGACATCTAGTCTAGCCTCCCTGCTCAATGCAGCCATATGCAACTGCAGCATCCCTGACAGATGGCCATCCAGCCTTCTACCAAGAGAGAATCCATCACCTTCTAGAGAAGCTTTTTCCACTGTTCAACAGCTGTTACTGTTATGAAATGTGTCCTAATATTTAGCTAAAATCTTCTACATCAATTACATCTCCTCTTAGTTTTGCTTCTCCAGGCTACATATTCTTAAAGAGCTTGCTTTCCAGACCACTCAGTATTCTGATCACCCTCCTTTTGATGTGCTCTATTTGTCAGTGTCCTTCCTAAAATGTGCCCCAAACTGATTGCATTACTTGGTTGAGGCTGACCAGTGAGTTACAGTGGTCCGATTTGGAGGTGACCATTGCATGGATCACTGTAGCTAGATCAGGGCAAGACAGGAAGGGGACCCATTGCCTTGTCTTGTGCAGCTGGAGGAACACCAGCTTGGCAACATTCATGATCTGAGCATCCATTGATAGGGAGGCATCCAGAACCATGCCCAAACTCCTTACTGTCAATGCCAGTATTAGGGGCATACCAGTAAGAGTAGGAAGTTGGCACCCCAACACTACCCCCTCACCACAGAACCTCTGTCTTAGTTGGGATCAGTCTCAGCTGGCTCTTTTTCAACCATCCAACCACAGCCTCCAGTCCCGCAGCCAGGTTTTGTGGGGTGGCATCCAGTCGGTCACCCATCAGCGGATACAACTAAGTGTCATCAGTGTACTGGTGACACCACAGCCCAAAACTCCACACCAGATGGGCAAAGATGTTATACATCTTATATTTAAAAAAAATATTTATGAGTTTATAAATATTTACAAGAAAATATACATATACACAATTAAATATACATTAGAGTCTTATGTTTCACTCTTTCTCTGTCCACTCATACAGTCCTGACCATCTTTTTTCAAAAATCTTTTCATCCTTCTGCTACATTCAATAGTTTATATATTAATTCTTCTCTTTGAGGTATTTTATGTGATTTCCAATATTTAGTCCAAAGGATTCTTGCTGCCGTCAAAATATATATCATCACATATGATTTGTTATAATCATACTCCTTTGGGATCATATTTAGCAAATAAATTTCAGGATTAAGTGGCAAATCTACAAATACTACTTCTCTTATTATTTTCTGAATTTTCTTCCAATACTTTTGAATTTTTATACATCTCCACCACATGTGAAAAAAAGAGCCGACATTGACTTTACACTTCCAACAATTACTTGAATAGTTTGGGAAACATTTTGCAATCCTCTCCGGGGGCCAGTACCATCTATGAAGTATTTTAAATACATTCTCTTTAAAAGGAATAGCTCTCATGCATTTAGTCCTTTTCCAGTTTTTAAACCATTCATCCATTTCAATACCATGTTCTAAATCTCTCATCCAAGATAAAATGCTATAGATGTTATAGATGTTATACATCTTATAGATGTTAAACAACATCATAGAGAGGCTTGCTTCCTGAGGGACCCCACATGCTAGGGGGTATCTAGTTGACACCCTCTCTTCTAGTGCCACCCTCTGTTCCCAACTTTGGAGAAATGAGGTAAGCCACTTGAAGACCACCCCACAAACTCCAATTTTGGTGAGGTGGTGAGTCAAGTGATCATGATAGACCATGTTGAATGCTGCTGAGCAGTAACAGCAGCACCAACCCGCCTCGATCCAACTGTCTGTGGAGATTGTCCATGAGGGCGACCAGTGCCATCTCCATCCCATAGCCAGGGTGGAAACTGGACTGGAATGGATCCAGCGCTGATGTGTCATCCAGGGAACAATGAAGTTGCTCAGCTACCAATCTCTCAATTACCCAGAAACAAAAGGTTCAAGACAGGGTGGTAATTAAGTGGATCTGTGGGGTCCAAAGATGGCTTTTTCAAGAGTGGTATTACCGCATCCTCTTTTAATCCCTCTGGATAGACCCTCAAATCCAGGGACAGATTGATGATGTCCACCAGAGGGCCCCATATACCCACACCAGTGGCTTTCACAAGCCATGAAGAACACTGGTCTAAGAGGCACATAGTCAGCCTAACCGCACTTAGGCCTGGGTTCAGTCAAGATGACCATTTGACATGGAAAGCTATTTGGTCCTCTCCTAACAACAGTTCTAAAAATTTTAATCTACGTTTCCAATTTCTGAAGATTATGACATGCTGGTACTACACCCGGAAGAAATTACATCATATGCATAAATCAATTAGCAGTGGGAGCGGTGGCGCAGGCGGTTAAACACCTGCTGGTAACATCTGCAAACAGCTACGAACAGCTGCTACAGCTGTTCGAATCCCACTGCGGCCAGGGTGAGCTCCTGGCCCTAGTCCCAGCTCCCACCCACCCAGCGGTTCGAAAGCAATAACATTTTAAAAAGCGAGTAGATAAATGGGTACCTGCCCTAGGTGGCAGGGGGCACCCTCCTCCGTTGTGGGGTCTGATGGGCCATCGGCGGCTATGGCGGAATGGCGAACGGCGGTGGCAACGAGTGAAGTAGTGAGCAGTGGCGGCAAGGAGTGCGCGTCAGATGGGTCTGCCGAATACAGCCGACTCCGAAGTCCACCGGAAGAAGAAGAAGAGGAGCCAAACCGAAAGCTGACCCAACAAAAAAAGCCGAACCGGAAAAAGAACAGCGAGTCCCTCCACTGGGTGCCGGTAGGGCAGTCCCCACCCCTGACTGTGTGTGGCCATAGATAGGGATAAAAGTAACTGTAAGCCACTCAGAGACCCCTCGGGGTTCGAGCGGAATACAAGTCGAAAGCATAAATAAATATTTATGCTGGAAAGGGTGTGGCCTTGAAGGCACCTTTATTCATTGTTGGTGGTCCTGTAGGCATGTTCAATTAAATTGGGGAAAAACAGTGTTTCATATAAAGAATATAACTGCAGTTGACTTACCTTTTGAACCAGAAGTTTTTTTACTGCAGCACTGGACAAATCGAACATGTAGTCCCATAAAGTGGTCCCTTGTCTGCTTGCTGCTAGCAACAGTACAAATTGCAATAGCCTCAAAGTGGCGTTCCAACAAAGTTCCATCAATGTGTTTATGGTTTGAGAAAATATGGGACCAATTTATAATGGGTAAACAACAGAAATTCATGCCCATAACATCAGTTACCTGGAATGTGCTAATTGGAAGAACCAGGGGAAGATGGTACTCCCTAGCACTTAGCTGCAAACAGTTTAGCTAGCAAGGTCATTGTGTTCCAACTATCTTTAACTGCCTCTGGGAAGATTCCTGTAGGCCTTTCTGCAGCCTGAACCAAAGATTTCATTTCTCAGAAAAAAGCAAGGAACAGTTTTTCTTTACAAGCGCAGACCCTAATCTGGGAGAACCGGGTTTGATTCCGCACTCCTCTACATGCAGCTGCGGTTGTGACCTTGGGTCAGTCATAAATTCTTTTGGAGCTGTTCTCTCAAGGGCAGTTCTTAAGAGAGCTCTCTCAGCCCCACCTACTTCACAGGGTGTCTGTTTGGGGAGGGGGAGGGAAAGGGATTGTAAGCCACTCTGAGACTCATTTGGGTAGTGAAAGGTGGGGTATAAATCCCATCTGTTCTTTTCTCTTCTACCTTTTCTACCTTTAAATCAGAGTTATACATAGGAGTTAGTAGCATTCTATCAAAACATACTTATGCTGTGCAATATGCAGTTTTTACTTTATATGAAAGTAATATTTAAGGAAGCTATATATTGGTGGCAATATTATCTTTGCATTTTCTTTTTTTGTCCTGGCTCAGACAAATTGGTTGAAAAGCACATCTGAAAGTGTAATGCTCCTGTTCAATCATGCGTCGCTAATGAGAGATAAATGGGAATATCATCCCTGTCATGTTTCATTGTCTACCTGTCTCTTTCTCTAGGAGGTGATTTCCTCTCCTTTTTAAGAAAGAAGAAGGATGAGCTCAGGACTAAGCAGCTAGTGAAATTTTCATTAGATGTTGCTGCTGGTATGGCGTATCTTGAATCCAAAAACTGTATTCATAGGTAAGAGCAACACAAACGTTCCTTACTACAGTTTTGAGTAGATAAATGGGTGTATACATATGCTGCTAACATAAAAGGATGTCTGAAAAGTAAAGATGACTTCATGCATTTTTCAATGCCATGTTTCTTTTCCTAGCTACTACTACTTATGAGAGTTCTTCTTTCATTCAGTTATAAAACAATACGTGTGTATTTCACTGTCAGCTCTTTATGGAGGACATTATGCTTCCCATTGAGCCGTATATCTAAAATGTAGTGAAAGTTGGTGCAAGGGATTATGGCCCAATTCATTAATCAGTAACAACCCTGTCTGAAGTTTAGGCATGGCTGGAAAAGAGATTATGATTTGTTACCTTTTCTTGAAATCTATAAGCATTTTGCAGATCATATCCAATTGTTTAACTCAAACTTCCCTTTCTTAGATGCAGCCTGTATGTATATCTGAAATTTTACTGCGTTAATGTTGGGCTTTCTCCTCTCTTTCCCTCCAAAATGAATGTTGTAATTACTGGATTTCTGCAACACTTAAAAACTTGGCATATTTTCCTACCTTAAATTTATTTGATTTCTAACCTTTTTGTTTGGTGTGACATATTTAGGTGACAATTCAAGCATTTTAGAAGATGATAATAATTTTGTTTAGTTTTATTTTGTCACTGAAACAATTTATCTGTATTTCTTCAGGTTGTAAAAGCTTCCCTGCCTAGTCACTTTGAGCTGATTCTTACTTGCCACTGGCAGTAAAGGGTCAAACTCCCTGTTATGTGGTGATCTATGACTGGATCCAGACATTGTCTTTTACTTTAGAAAACAGCTTTGGGAAGCTGGGTATGGAATAGCACTAGGAGAGATACCTGCTCTCAGCATTATTCTCCTGATTTCCCCCATACCCAGGAGTAGCCATGTACATACAGTTTTTACCTACCTGCAGTTTAGGGCTGACCCTCCTCCAAGGCTGCTTTTTAATGTTAATTAAATATGACAGCATATACTTGCAACAATAATAAAGATCAATCCGAGAACTATATTGAATACTATGCTTTTTCAACTGTAAATTTAGGGAAACCATTTCAAGGAACTCAAGTGCTTCATTAGTTATCAATGTCTTTAATAGACAATTGACCTGGGAGTGATCCCAGAGTTTGAAACTGGAACTGTCTCAGGTCACTTGGGATTGTCCCTAAAAAACAAAACAAAACCACGCCAATAAAGGTAATTGGATTGTAACCATGGAATAACTTTGAAAAGGTGCAAATAACTTCATGCCTTTATTTTTGTCTGCCTAGAAGTTTTCCTTGTTGCAGCCTTCTGGAGCCACCAGATTGGATCCAGACTAAACTGGAAATTTCTGCAAATTCCCCCTTTCTGCTGCAGACCATTTAAATGTCATTACTCAGGGTCTCTGCCCCCCAAGAGCAGTATTTTATGGAAATCAGCAGGGAGAAGGAGGCAGGGAAGTTCTATTCTGGCTTTAGAAAATTTAGACGTTCCAACCGACCATTCTTCTCCACCACCACCACCCTTTGTACCAGTGGAATTTTTAAAAAAGGAAATTGCTACATCATTATAAAGTTATAGCTATCTATTGCCATGATCCCAGCTTTCATTTTTTAGATATCTAGCCCTTTTTATTATAGAGTTATAAGTGTAAAGATTCAGGCTGCAACTTTTCCTTTATAATGCTACAATGAAAAGACCGAGAGTCTTTTTTTTAATGAAAGTGTGGCACTAGTAGGTAATGGATATAGATTGGTATAACATTATAACAGTATAGTAATCTAGCAATTCTCAATTTTATTTTGAAAGTCCCCCAAAAGCCCTCCAGTGGTGATTGGGGAATGGCAGCATCAGGACTGACACAAAGAAAATCCACACCTTCCCATGCAGACAGCATTCAGAGACATTTTTTCAAACAGATCATACAACCCATCATACAGGAAAACGTAGAAACAGGACAAATAGAGGACATTACATGAACACTCCTGAAAACAGCACTGCTGTAAGAAAACATCTGTGTAGAGAAGTCCTGGAAGTCTGACCTTTGCGGTGTATTTTGTAATGTAATGTATGAAGGGTCCGATGAGTATGTTTTCTGCCTCAGGTATCCAGATTACCCAGTTAATGCATTTATTATTCCACTTTGAAGTGCAATTCAGTTTGGGATGCCATAGTTCAAAAAGAACATTTGCAAGATGGAAAAGTTTCAAATAACAGAAATGCTAAGACAGCTAATGAAAGACATATATTGAATTTACTCCAGATACAGAATTTTGAGGATATTTACAGCTTTTTATTGCAGTCTTTCAGGTTCTCTATCGATATCCTAGCATAGCCAAAGGGTAAAATAGTTAAGTAGGCTTTGCCGTTTAAATATCTTCCTGTCTTTTGGGTATATATTACCTAGATACTCTTGATTACATTTGGCCAGCACAGATGTAGTGCAAAAGATGTTTAGATTGCTTGTGTTCTCTAAAGGCAGAATGCCTCTAGGTTCATTTTACTCCCACACATTATTTAAATACCCACCCAAACACCACATGTGAGTCTTCAAGGTGCAATTTGAACTAAAGTACATTGAAGGCTTCTCATTGACCTCAGAATGTGTGTGGTTATTTTTTTAATTGTAACTTTTCAAGCTGTCTTGTGCTTTGAAACACATGAAATGGCAAACAAAATGCGCTTTTTATAGGAGTGTCATTCTCCAAGGATCACAGACAGGTCAACAGATTCATTTAATCTGTTATGAATCCATAGTTATTTGTCATACTGACATTACTTATATGGGCTTTTTATCTCTTAGGTATCCCTGTAAAGGGTTGCCAGGTATGATTAACTTTTAACATATATTAAAACATAAATTTATGGGAAAACTTGTTTCTTTTCCTTTTTTTACTGCTCAGCATGTTCAACATTTTACTTTCTGGATATTTGCCCTTTCCTCCTATCTCCTATCTCCTATCTCATCTCTTTGCTTGCTGTCTCTGCTTCTTTATATAAATATTATCTAATGGAATTTTCCTGTTAATACCGTCCTAGCAGTGCTTAGTTCCTCACCATTTAAGATACTGAGGGAGAAGAATAGCATCTGATCATTAATGAGCAACTTTAATCCTCTGGAGTGAAATCTTCTCTTCTTCTCCTCCTCCTCTCTTGAACATGGGGAGTCATTTCTTATTTAAATTACATGACCAGGCAAATCTGCTATTATCATATCTGCCCTTTGAGTCATTAAAAAACCCTTTGGCTTGAAAAACTATAATGCAGATCCATGGCTGAAAAAACATGTTTGCTACATAAAGATATCTTATGAAAGTTTTACTGTGCATCATGCATTATGTAGCAGCATGAATCATTAAATCATATTTTCTATAATGAGTGTGGTAATATAAAACAATGCAACATGTTTTTTTCACTAACTATTCCCATATTATGAGAAGGCAACTTGCTAAACTGAATCCTGAGATGTTAAGTGAAGACAATTCATATAACTAAGTAGAGCTATTATAAAAAAATTAAATGTTTCTGAAAAGTACTGAGAAGTGTTGAGTGATTTCAGCAAAGTACTTTTATTAAGCAGGAACAAGACAAAGGTAAGCCAGCTCGCAGGCCGGCTTATATGCTCAGAAACCCACCACCTAAAACACACCCACTAAGGCCCTATAGGCTATTTACAGTGGCCGAGAGTCCCATAGGCTCTCGGCCGCGGACCTGGCCCTCTGATAGGTGCAGGCTAGAATACACTGGACTATTGTTCTCTTGGAAGCGAAGCTCTGCTGTCTGGCCTGACCGCATGGCCCAACGGTCGTGCACGTGGTCATGGCGGAGTACATTACACCCCTCCCCCCATAGTCCAGACTACCCGCACACATAGTCCTGGAGATATGCCGGGGCCGTCCTGGTTCTTGTGGAACGTCGGAGTTCAGGCGTCGGGGTCGCGGCTGTTTCCAGGGCCCTGGGCGGGGGACCCGGTCTTGGGCCCGCTGGGGACGATGGCGGCGAGCTGTCCTGGGGCCGTGTGTCCAGGGTGACCAGTAGGGGTGCCGGGGTCTGTGGTTCGGACGCCGGGGGGGCGATTCGGCTGATTCCGGGAATTCCAGATCCTCGGGACCGTTAGGAAGAACCCTCCACCGCAGTTGATCTATGTGGCAGTGACGCAGTTGCCCATCCTCGCAGGCGACCTCGTACGACCGGGGCACTCGCACTCGGACCACGCGAGCGGGGATCCAGGGCGGGCCCTTGGCGTAGTTTCTCACATACACCGGATCCTCTGGAAAGAACCCTCGCGCTGCCTCCGTAAACTCTAACAAAGATGCCGCCCTTAAAAATATTAAAGAGGATTGTGTGACAGCCAGAACCTTGAATATCACCCCTGTGTACCCCACTCATTACTTACATAGGGGTTCCTCTAGACCAGGGGTCCCCACCCTTTTTGAGCCTACAGGCATCTTTGGAATTCTGACACAGCGTGATGTGCAGCCACAAAATGGCTGCCATAAAATGGCTGCCACAGGAGGTGGAGCTAGCCATATAATGGCCACTGCAGCTTCCCTTCAGTTACACAGTGAAACATTTTGTGCTGTGATATCAAGCTGGAGCCAAAGCAAAGCCAATCAACTCTCCAGTGGCCAATCAGACGCTCTGCTGGGCAAAAGCCCCACATGACCATGCCCACTTTCTAAAAACACTTGGTGGGCACCAGGAAAGGTGTCAGCAAGCGCCTTGGCGTCCACGGGCACCACGTTGGGGACCCCTGCTCTAGGCAGTATTCTAGCTACCAGGAATACCCCAGGTACACTGCATGTTGCAACCCCTCTCCCTGAGGTGGGCAACCACAACTGCCATAACCATTGCACATAGCCTTGGGGCAGAAGAGAGAACAAACAAGAGGACAGAATATTGGAACAATCAGTACCCACACTGAAAATAAAATAACTTTCTAAAACCTTTTAATGTAAACATTTAACAAAGCTATGACATCCATAAGAGAAACCATACAGAAC